ATGAGCAAATAAACAAAATAGAAAGAAACTCATAGACACAGAGGGCGGACTGATGGTTGCTGGAGGGGAGGGAGGTTGGGGGGATGGGTGAAAAAGATGAGGGGGTTAAGAAGTACAGATTGATTGTTGCAAAATAGTCACGGGATGTAACGTACAGCATAGGAAATATAATCAACAAGATTGTAATAACTCTGTACTGTGCCAGGTGGGTACTGAAAATATTGGGGGGAACACTTTGTAAAGTAGGTGATTGTCGAACCACTAGGCTGTACCCGGGAAGCACTGAATGTAAACAATAATTAAAAAATAAAATTGAAACACAGAGTTACTTAACTCTCTTTGCTGGCTTCCTCATTTTGAAATAAACATAATTATAGTGCGTGCCTCAAAGGGTTGGTTGTGGGAAGGATTAAATGAATGAATGAAACTAAAATACTTAGCATGGAACCTATTTCGTGATGGCACTGAATAATTTTTAGCTATGGTGTGTATCATTAGGTAGGCCTCATAATTATTTATTCATTTTTCAATAGCTGTAAGATTTATAGAAAACAGAACCAAATTAGAAGCCTTGGGACGGATTCCTTTTCCTGTTTCTGCAGGTTGCTGTAACCACGCTCTGTGTCTTGGTTCATTCCACAAATATTTGTTGAGTACTTTTATGATAAGCAGTCGACAAAATGATGGGCTCTCTATAAAACTGAAATAACTCTGTGAGTACCAAAGAGTTAACAAATATGAAGGTTTTACATTTCTCATCATTCAATAGCTAGTGGGGAACATTATCAATGAAGAAGAGCCCGTTGGAGCTCTAAAAGTGGAGTTCAGTTATTACACACGAGAATCTGGTTATAAGACACCTTATCTAAGGCATCCCAAGAGCTTGGACCTAACTCCATCGTGATTCTGAGGAATGAGCATCAAGGATATACTAGAACGTATAACTAGAGAATTTTATTTTCATATGAATTATACTATTTTATTATGTATTTGATAACAGGTGGTTTAATGAAAATGTATTGAGGAATTGGCACTGTTTTATCTCCTGTAATTTTATTTTAAAATAACTATATATATTAAAAAACAAACAAACAAATTAGTTAATATGAAGCAATCAGGATGAGCAAGCCAGTAAAAAGTGTGTAAAGGGACAGATAAGGATATAGCAGTGCTTTCTAAACGGTAATGAAAAATGTCAAGGCAAGGACAGAAAACCTCGAAGTACCAATTTCCAGAAAAGAATACCATAAAAACTAGTGGTTTCCCACATTTTGGTAATTATTGTTTAGAAGACTTAAAAAAAAAATCCACCCACAACAGAAAGAAAAACATAAAATGCTTTGGAAAACCAAGACAAGAAATGCTGAGTTCTTAAATAAACAAGAAAATTTTATTGTAAGAAATGAAAGGGTTCAATACACGAAAAAATAGAAAAGTATATTTTAATTGTATCCAAAGTAAATATAAAAAACAATCCCTGTGAAAATCCCAATGTATTATTTTAAATATGTTTTCATTGCTTTTTAGAGAGAGAGGGAGGAGAGGAAGAGAAACATCGACTGGTTGCCTCTCGCATGCACCCGTACCAGGGATCAAGCCTGCAACCTGAGTATGTGCCCTGTTGGGTAATCGAACCTATGACCTTTCGGTCCACAAGACAATGCTCAACCAACTGAGCCACACTGGCCAGGGCTAACAACTCTCTATGTATTTTAAAAGTTGAGAACATTATTCAAAAGTTCATCAATATGCAAAATAATGTTGCCCAGTCAAGATGGCAGCACAGGCAGGTGCATGCTCACATCCTCCCACCACCACCTCAAAGGTACAGCTAGACTACAGAACCACCATGCTTCGGAATCGCCTGAGGCCCAGCGAGCAGAAGTCCTATAGCTGAGGCTGTGGATGGAGAGGCAGCCACTTCAAGGCTGATGCAAGCAGGCTGGTCCCACACCCACGTGTGGGGGATGAAAATCGGGAGGGATGTCTCGGCCGAGGAGGTCCCCCCTGGAGAGCAAAGGGCCCCGGCCCCACACCAGGCCCCCCAGCCCAGGGTTCAAGTGCTGCGAAGAGAAGGTCCTATAACTTCTGGCTGTGGAAATCGGCAGCGATTGTGACTGAGTGAGATGCGGGGAGTGGGAGTGGGTGCAGGGGGAGGTCTTCTGGAGTCTCAGGCAGTTCCTCTTAAAGGGCCTGCCCAGGGACTTCCTCGGACCTGCTCCCTCTGAGTCCTATGTGGATTAAAAAGATGAGTAAGACGTTGACCTTGATTTCATGTAGCCTGCACTTGATTTGGAATGTAAATACATAAGAATCAATATGTTAGGGCCGTGGTCGGCGAACTTCGGCTCTTGAGCCACATGCGGCTTTTGGCCCCTTAGTGAGAGTGGCTCTTCCTAAGCCTTAGGAGAACCCTAATTAAGTTAATAACAATGTGCCTACCTATATAGTTTAAGTTTAAAAAATTTGGCTCTCAAAAGAAATTTCAATCATTGTCCTGTTGATATTTGGCTCTGTTGACTAATGAGTTTGCCGACCACTGTGTTAGGGGAAAAACAAGATATTTTAAACACTTTCAGCACAGATGGCACACTAGTAAGCCATGTCTATGATAAGTGATCAAACTCAGACACATAGGCACCTGGTTTTTAATATAATGACTCACTTATGAGCCTGAGAGAATGTTTCCAGTAAAATGTGTCCCAAGGAACGGATAGTAATAACTAATTAACTAATTCAATGGGGTACATTCATAGTATCCATTTGTATGTGGGACGACGTGTATGAACAAGGAGGTTTTAATTTTAGGTTAATTTTTCTGTAGGCAGTTTCCGTGACTATTTAAATCCACCGAGACAGACAAAAAATACATTATTAACAGAGAGGGGATACATACTTCGTTTGCTTTGTAAGAAATGCCTCTGATTCACTAGTAAGTTCTCACTTTATCTAAACATACATGTAAACAGCAGATTCCATTAGAAACTATTTTGTGCTAGCATAGTGGCCGTGCATTCTGGGATGGCTTTTTACTCTTTTGCGTTTGGGGGGGAAACATTAAGGCTCAATTCTACACTGATGTTTTCCTTTGGCCCACACAGAGCTACTGAAGAAAGATGGCGTTTTGCAGAACTGTTTTCGTCATAAGAGCAACAATACAGCAAAAATCAATAGTGGAACAGACATGCCCAAAACATGGCTACTCTTCATGCTGGAAAATGGTGTGCAGATCCTGACTGAACTATCTGTTAGCAAGAAAATACAAGCTCTGTGACCCAGAATCTACAATATCTCTCATGAGACAGCTGAGGAGCTCATTTCTCAGTCTTATTAACTAGGCCTTCTTACGCAAGACTCTCTGGTGCACCATGAATTACTGAGTGGGTGCCACAGTAAACAAATGTACAGAATGGTAACGTGCATGGTTTGGTGATTTTGGTGGGATTTAGAGCAGCATGCGTGTCAGGCTGGGGAAAGTACTCAGACTTGATTAGAGGTCAACTAATGGGAAACTGGGATTTCTGTGTAAGCAGCTGCTGCAGTGTCAGACTTGACCTTTAGAAGGTGACGACAAGCTTAGAGACGTGACAGACTGGCGGGGTGGGTGGGGAGGGTGAAATGGGTGGTGTCTAAAGGTACAAACTCCAGCGGTAAAGGAAACAAATGCTGGGACGTGACAGACAGCAGGGTGACCTTCGTTCAGTGGCACATAAGCTTAGCACTGAAAGTCTGCGGCACACCAAGAAACCTATTTCTTGCTGATCTGACAAAATAAATTGGAATAATTGTAATGTATTCACAATGGACAGATATTGTTGTGCTGGCTGTTGTCACTTTTTTTAAAAAAGAGAGATCCATTATCTATCTATCTATCTATCTATCTATCTATCTATCTATCTATCTATCTTGGTTAATCCTCACCCAATGATATTTTTCCATTGATTTTTAGAGAGAGTAGAAGGGAGAGGAAGAGACAGAAAGAAACATCGATGTGGGAGAGACACATCGATTGGTTGACTCCTGCACACATCCTGACCAGGGCCGGGGAACCTGCAACCGAGGTACATACCCTTGATGAGAATCGAACCCGGGAGCCTTTAGCTCATGGGCCAATGCTCTATCCACTGAGCCAAACCGTCTAGGGCTGTTGTCACTTTTTATTTGGCAATCCAGGAAAAAGAGGACAGTGCCCCTGGCTAAACAGTATTGCATGTTCTAAAAATTCTTGTGGCACACCGTTTGAAAATCGCTACTGCAGTTAATAATACTGTGTTGCATATTTGAAAGTTGCTAAGAGAGATCTTAACACTCTCATTACAAGAAAAAATTTTATAACTACGTTTGGTGACAGATGTTAACTAGACTTATTGCGGTGATCATTTTACAGTACATGCAAATATCAAATCATTATGTTAGACACCTGAAACTAATATAATGTTGCAGGTCAAAAATACCCCAGGAAAAAATAGAGACAGACTAAGAACATCATAAGAAGGACATTTGGTAATTTATTTTCAAATAAACAAATATATATATATATATATATATGTGTGTGTGTGTGTGTGTATTCACTACATATATATGTGTATATATATATATATATATATTCACTATATGCAAAATGCTACTCTAGATATTTGAGCATAAGGAAGAGAAATAATGATTTGAATAACATTCCTATTTGTAAGGAGCTTAAAATGGAATTAAAAATAAACCATAAAGGCTCAAAAGTCTAATTAAAGCACAAAAGTCACAGAACCAAAATAGCATGAAGGATAAGTTGATATATTACATGATTAAGTAGGCAATTAAGTGTCTAGACCATAGCTTATTAAACCTGGCAGAACTCCAAGCCCTTTGGGTTTACACTCCACATCCACTGGTGGAAATGGGTCTGCCCTGGGGTGCCATCCTGACCCACAGCAGGGACCCTCAAGTCCTCCTCTACTTGGGGTGCCAATGCAATTTCACTGGCAGTGCCAATGAAGTTATAGAGAGAGGTTTTAAAAAGTAAATGCTTGAGCTCTACCCCAGACCTCCTGAATGAAACTTCTGGGCAGGGTGTGGAAGACTAGGGGGTACAACTTCAGAGAAGGGAGGGGAATTGGGGGCGATGAGACCTGGCACCTTGTACTTCATAAAGCTCCCAGATGATCCTGATGAACACAGGCTGGCACCCCAAGTAGAGAAGGACTTGAGGTTCCCTGTGTGGGTCAGGATGGCACCCCAGGGCAGACCCATTTCTACCAGTGAATGTGGCATGTAAACCCTAAGGGCTTGGAGTTCTGGCAGACTGTCCACCCTAACTCCCACTTTTTGCATCTCGCCATGGACACTGAGAAAATCTAGCCTCGCTCCTGAGAGGGAGCGCACACAGGGAGGGTGCACCGCTCAGGGAGGGGCGGATGGCATTGAGTTCCGAAGGCAAGGTCTTTCCTGCCCAACACAGAAGAAGAGAAAAATCCTGCCAGGGAAAAGGAGCAGCATGTTTTCAGGAAAGTACAACCGGGCTTGAAGCCGGAGGCGTGGAAGGCCTGTTGAGAAGAAAGGGTTCGTGCAGGGGAATGCGGGACTGTAGACGGTATCGGATTCCCTCCTCGGGTCCCCTCCCTGGTTCGGCTGTGTTTTTATTATGGAAAAATTCGAATACCAAGTCTAGGGTTTTATGAATCTCAATTCCACAAGCTCTATGTTGTTTTTGTTTTCTCAAGCTACTCAAAAAGGTTCGTGTCTTGTTATTTTCACTATAATCTGCACATCTAGGGGGCATTCTTGGCTGTGAATTTTGTGGGTGTTTTTTTTTTTTCATATTCTTTAAAGAAGGTTCTGGGTTCTTTAGTCAATTTTATTCCATCCTTGTACTTAACAGAGAAAAGCCAGGACTACAGCGAATTGGCGTTAACAACATAAAGTGTTCGTGACCAGATGCCTCTGGACAGCATGCCAGAGAGAAAGTAAATTTCCAAGACGATGACCATTGTTCCTGGAGATGTAAAGCTGGGGCGTACGCACCCTGCACCGAACGCCAATACTGTGGTTACCTGAGTGAGTGGTTCCTGGTGAGATCAGGCTGACGTTCCTGCAGAATTTCAAAGATATTGGGTTGGCGCAGAAATGCAACGATCTTGTCATTATAAGCTGAAAATCAGAAAACAGGACAACATTTACAAACAACCTGCTATTCGTTTTGTGCATACGAATCCAAACTTTTTAAAAATCTGTTTCCCGGGTTAATACTCCTGGCACTCAAGCCACTACCAACACTTAAATTCCACACTGTGTCTATGCTGTTATGAACATTGGACTTAGATCTATCTGGTGTGACTTTCTTTATCATTGATTACTCATTTGATGAGTCATATTTGTCATCAACTAGCAAGGTGAGATCACCAGGATTCTATCTATTAATCATTTCAAGCCACTGCTTATCAAAATCATCTTCATAAGTAACTTTTAGAAATAGATAACTATCTTCTGATTACGTATCAGCCATGCAGGGAGGTGAAGAGGCAGAACAAGTCCCCAAAATGCAACAGTCGCCAGCAACCGCTACTACCAAAATGCAGAGAACAAGCCATTCCCAAATTCTATGTGGGAATAGATGCCATCAAGCCACACATAGCTCTTTACCAAATCAACTATACCAACACCTACAACACAATCAGCAATATCAACTATCCGTTAAAAGAAAAATTTATCTTAGCCAAGGTTGCCTAATGCCCATAGAAATTTAAAAATAGTTACTTAAAATTTATTAAGGGCTTTTGTCATACCTCTTTTTATCAAGAAAACTAGTTAGTTTTTTTTTTACTTAAGATGATTCATCTTGATTACATTTATTTATAATCAGAAATATAGGTATATTTAAATCACATAACCGAGTGAATTCTCAAATATCAGAAACCCTTAACAACTTACTTTTTTTTTCACTTCAACAATCTAATGCAACAGCTCTACTCAGAAAAGGCAGAGCGTGGCATTAAAACATCTCCTCCTAGAGCCGTGGTCGGCAAACCATGGCTCACGAGCCACATGCGGCTCTTTGGCCCCTTGAGTGTGGCTCTTCCACAAAATACCACGTGTGGGTGCGCATGTACAGTGTGATTGAAACTTCGTGGCCCATGCACAGAAGTTGGTATTTTGTGGAAGAGCCACAGTGAAGGGGCCAAAGAGCCGCATGTGGCTCGCGAGCCGCGTTTTGCCGAGCCGCAGTTTGCCGACCACTGTCCTAGAGGATTGTACAAGACCGAAGTGCTTTGGGATTCAGATCAATTTCTTGGGGATGACGCAGAGTTTCTGAGTCCAGGGCAAGGGCAGCGGCGGACAAGGGGGCAGTGCTAGCACAGCATGCATGGGACAGGCTGGCGCAAGAAGCACGGTGGAGGTTTCCGGGAGGGGGTGCCATACCCACTGGAACCATGTCCTGGTACTGCGGCCTGCTGACGGTGTTGAACGTGCTGGACGGCCTGGGAAGGACGGGCGGCCCCGCGTGTCGCGAATCCTCTCCTACCTGCAGACACAAGCATCCCTTAGGCTCTGCACCCAGACCTTGCGTGCTCGCTATCAGCACCTGAGCCATGTTTTTCTTTTTGCTCATTTTCTGGTTAATCCTCACCTGAGGATATTTTTCTGTTATTTTTAGGGAGAGTAGAGGGAATGACAGAAAGAAATATTAATGTGAGAGAACATACTGATTGGTTGACTCCTGTACACGCCCCAACCAGGGCCCAGGCTAGGGGAAGAGCCTACAACCAAGGTATGTGCCCTCGACAGGAATCGAACCCAGAACCCTTTGTTCCGCAGGCCTATGCCAAACCGGCTAGGCGATGAGCATTGGTAGATACCAACTGACCAGAAGAGATACCACCGGGGGAGCTGGCTCAAGATTCCCAAAAGCTCTGCTTTAGTTGCTGAACTGAGTGGAGGGGCAGGACATCCGGGTCCGTGAGAGGGGCAGGAGCAGTGACTGCTCACTGTATGGCACAGGGGTAGCTCCACATGCTCATGATGATGGGGCTGCAGCAGCTAAACAGCACACCTACTCAGCAGGGGTGACTTCCGCCCAACAGAGCCCAAACCCGCCACGGGACACGCGGAGAAAGACCCATGTGGGACAAACATCGCATCGCGGTAGAGCCAGGGGGCACCCACCTTCCCCGGTGGGTCAGGGGATCCTGCCTCCCAGAGGAGGGGCCTGGGGCAGCCGTGTGCATGTGGGCTTTTGAGCTGGTGAATTAACTGCTCAGGAGCAATTCTGCTTGCCTATTAGAGCGCCCGGCCCAGCAGCCCTTTCTGGTTTGAACCTCCCACCCAGGAGCTAATCATAGCAGGTGTGGAGGAGCCAAATGGGGCTGCCCTGACCTGAATTGGTTATGGGGCCTATTATAGACTCACACACTCATTCATACCAGCAGACAAACAAAAATATTCTGAAGAGGAAACACCAACACTGCTTTCGCTCCGCGTTAGCGTCCCCCACCCCGATATCACAGGAGCCTTTTAAGAGGACAGTGGAACAGTAGCGTTAAGATAACGAAACGCAAAATAACACACTGGATTTATACATCGGCACTCTTCAAACAGCTTCTCCTCTCACCCATTCAAATCTGAACAAGCCTTTTACCATCTGGCATCAGCGTGGGGTTTGGTGAGGGTTTTTCTCAAGGCCCTGAAACTGGCAATGTCTCCCCACCCTGCACGGCTTGCTCATCCCCCGGGGATATTCCCACGGTCAGTGTTGAGCCGAGCAGATGGCCCTCCTGAAAGCATTTCTCACTCGTGTTTGTTCGTCTGTATTAGGCTTAGTTTCATCTGCTCTCTCCTCGATGAGAATACAGGATGGGAACATATGTTATGGACGCATATCACTGAAACAAGCACCATGCAGCCACTGCAGGTGTGGGTCAGTACCACCCGGTGGATGGAAGAGATGCCGCCATCCCCCCACGTGTGTTTGCGAATGGAGCAGAGGAGCGGGGCTGGGAAGCCCGTCCGTCCATGTGACTGAATGGTCTGGGGGGATTCCAGGGTGAACTGCGTCTTGTGTGTCAGTCACAGAGTTAGCGCTGCCATCGCCCACAGACACGCTCCCTCCTGTCCGGATGCTGCTGCTGCCACTTCCCAGGACAGCGGAGGTCCCCTCCACACCCTACCCCTCCTTCCTGCCCGGTGGCCAGCCCGTGGGCGGCCCTGAGAGCTGAGCCTGTCGCTGCCTCAAGTGCACCTTCCATCGTGGTGCCAGGACACGTGTCCCCTCAAAAAGGCTGAACAAGGCGGGCCCCAACGCTCTGTCTTTATGGGGTACCTCTCCCCACGGCTCAGTGTCCATCAAGGCAAAGAGCAATGGTCACTCAAATGTTAACGGGCACCTTAGGGCCCCTCTCCCACAACGGGCTACTTCTAGATCATGGAACTAGTCTAGATCCGTGGTCGGCAAACTGCGGCTCGCAAGCCACATGCGGCTCTTTGGCCCTTTGAGTGTGGCCACGAAGTTTCAATCGCACTGTACGTGCGCGCCCGCACGTGGTATTTTGTGGAAGAGCCACACTCAAGGGGCCGCAGTTTGCTGACCACTGGCCTAGATCATGGAAAGATAATGTGAGTCCAGCTGTTCATCTCACGCGCGCAGCCCTGAGCAGCAAGCAGTCAGCTCCGTGCGGTGAAGTCGAGATAAGACGGTGGCTCGAGTGCACTGGCCACGGGAGCGAGGCAGGCAGCGCCCTAACTGCTCCACGCCGTGCATGGGTCCAAAGGTGAGTGCTCTGCCTGTCAGATGAACGCTGTGTGCATCGCCCACTGCACCACAGAGGCTTATGGGAGAGCAAGGTAAAGATTTATTAGCTGCTCGTAAAGCATACATATTTCTGTGGCTGCCTCATGCTGCAGTAGATCATGTTTATATGAGTGTCTCCTGTACACTCCTCTGTGTCTGCACTTACAACCAGCACACACACCGGACGCATGAGAGCCAGTGTGGAGAGGATGAGGGGGAATTCCAGAGTGGAATTTTGATGTCTCAAGTCCAGTTACTCACAGCACACATAATTGTTTCTTATAATAGAAGCTATGGAAGTACATGGCTCGCAATCCAGTACTGAAAATAGGGTATGCACATGGGTGTGGAAGAGGCGTGCAGGAAAATAATCTGAATTAAATTTGTCGAAGGGAATTATTAGGAACAATGCATATGAAGTGAGGATATGTATCCAAAGCAGACGTCCATCCGTAGAAGGAGAAGAAATGTGACCTCCAGCATTCCTTTTCTTTATTTAAGCCTCTACAGAAAAGGAGAAGCAGGGAAGGGTGACTTCTGGTTTTGTTAGGCTATTCGAGAGCCCTCATGTGGTTGCCATCAGTCCCTGCACACCAGCCAATAGAAATTTCAGGAATTCTTAATTCCACCCATTTTCTCTGGACACTTACAGTACATAACATAAATCAACTCTCGGATACACTCAATCTTAAAGAATATTACTGAGTGAGAATGCCACAACCCCACCGCCTTGGCCGGAGATTTTCATGGATTCCACCAAGCCTCACTTAAGAAACTCCCTTACATTTTAGCCAAACTTAGCCCACTAAAAGTCACATTCACTCCTTCCTGTGAAGCTGTCCTTAGGTGGGCAAAAGGGCTCATCATCCCCACTTTTTAATAAATACATATTTTATTTATTTCAGAGAGGAAGGGAGAGGGAGAGAGAGATGGAAATATCCATGATGAGAGAAAATCATGGACTGGCTGCCTCCTACACACCCAACACTGGAGACTGAGCCCGCAACCAGGGCATGTGCCCTGACTGGGAATCAAACCGTGACCTCCTGATTCACAGGTCAACGTTCAACCACTGAGCCACACCAGTCAGGCTCATCATCCCCTCTTACGTATTTTATCACATTATGAATTCTCTCTCACTAGCCTCTGAATGTAAAAAAACCTCTCATTTCTTTCCTCTCCTCTCCTATAGGCTGCTTCTTCTATCGGGCACGTGGGCTCCATGCGTCTCCAAAGAAGCCCTGTCAACATCCCAGCCCTCCTCAGCCTCCACATGAGCTTCTCTGAGTCAAACCAGGAAAGCGAGACAGGGCGGGGGAGCCACACATCACCCCCCTGGAGCACCCAGCAGCCCTGTCGGGGGTCCTGGGGTCAGCAGCCCTGTCGGGGATCCCGGAGTCAGCAGCCCGGTCAGTGGTCCCAGGGTCAGCAGCCCCGGTCGGGGTTCCCAGGGTCAGCAGCCCAGGTTGGGGGTCCCAGGGTCAGCAGCCCTGTCAGGGGTCCCATGGTCAGCAGCCCCGGTTGGTCAGGGTCCCTGGCATGACTCACCTCGCCCGCGCTGTGGCTGCGCTGCCGGGTCAGGTGCTGCCGGTGCACCAGCGCGCTCGTGGGCCGGCCGCTCTGCAGGGGGAGCCGGGGGTCGATGAACGTGGTGGTCCGGGAGTTGTGGTCGACAAAGAACGCCTGGGGGAGAAGCCACGCAGTGGTCAGTGCAGCCACACACTTCCCAGCTGAGCTGCCACTTCTCACTTGTGAGTAATGGTCTTAGCTCCATTTCCTCCTAATTTTGGGAGAATTTCTCCTTAACGCCCACCCCCTCTACCCCCAGAAAAGGCCAAAACAGAGAAAGACATGTTTCGATGGTATCTGGAATGAGGAGAGCAGGAAGGCACTTTATTCCTGGTTTTAGGAAATAGTCCAGGCGATAGGCATCAAAGATAGGATCTGAGAAAGAAGTCACATGAGAGCACATTCGGGCTTCTCTTAACTGATGCTCTTTAAGCGCTTACTGCATCCAGAATTACTCCCAAAGTCTGCTCGCCTGAAACTCCCAACGCCATCGGCTGCCTCTCCTATGCAGTCAGCACCAGCCCCCATTTCCCACGCCAGTGTCTCCTCTCTGTCCCGGCCCAGCCTGGCCATGGCCCGTTACTTCAGGGCTTTCTCTTGGGCATGCAAGCATCGCCAGCTCCTCAGGGGACCCCCATCACTGCCCTTCCTCATGGGACGGCACCTAGGATCAGAATTATGCTTTCTGAGTGCCTAGATTACATCCCTGCTCCAATCCTGAGCCCCGCTGGCTACCCATTACCGATAGAGAAACATCCCACCCTCCGACCGGGTTTCCAAGACTTTACAATCTTCCTCCTGGCCCTAACTGGTGTGGCTCAGTGGATAGAGCATTGGCCTGCGGACTGAAGAGTCCAGGTTTGATTCCGGTCAAGGGCATGTACCTTGGTTGCAGGCACATCCCCAGTAGGGGGTGTGCAGGAGGCAGCTGATCCTATCTCCATCCCTCTCCCTTCCTCTCTGTAAAAAATCAATAAAATATATTTCTAAAACATCTTCCTCCTTGCCTTCCGGTTTTGCCATCAATCCCGCATTCATACGAATGTTATCAGACACAGTGACTCTGGGCCAGCCGCTGAAGTTCTCTCTGTAGATTCCTTATGAAAACATGTCCCCTCATTCATAATAAACATTTCTCCCATAATAAGTGGGAGGAAACCATGCCTACCGTGTTCACGGCAGAAGCCCTGGTGACATGACGTCATGAATGAGCATAAGCCACTTCCCTCGGTGCTGAGGGAAGGACTGCATACAGTG